GCCGATGAACATTTTTAGCAAAACAAAAAAAAAACAAAGAAGGATAAACTAAGTCAAGGAAAGTAAAAGTACAAATTGAAGGAGTGAATCAAACACTAAAGCAAAAAAAAAGAAAAATGCGCGCAGCAAAAAAAACGGTTCCAAGATCTGACGACTCGAAAGACAACTGATAAAAACACAAAAAGTTGGTCAAAAACTTTATTTGAAACAGAATATTTCCTATGTGAAAAAAAAAACAAGTCATGGTCAGATTTAAACCCAGAATCTTTGCCGCCACAGGCATATTTGAAACCTCCAGGCTAAGCTGGCCGGGAACGCATAGAAAATTGAACTTACAAGCAAGCCCGTTTCCAACATTCCATCGATTTGCAAAAAGTGAGTTGTTGTTCTGATCAAGCTGTTGAATCAACAAAACTAGGGACAATTTTAAGTTTAACCAGGTCGTGAATCTGTTTGGAAAAACTTATTTCAAAGATCGAATCGGTTCAAGAAAAATCTGCGTTTTTCAAAGCAAACGATTCCAGCTATGAAACCTCGAATATTTCAAACTATTTCTTACAGCAAGTAGGTTCGTGAAAATTTATGGTTTTTCCAAGCAAGCTTTTCAAGCTATGAAAGTTGAAAATATTTGACCTTATTTTTTAGCGCTAGTCCGTTTGCGAAAAGTTTAGGTTTTTTTAAGCACGCTGATCTAGCTATGAAACCTTGAAAATTTCAAGTTATTTCATAGAACGAATAGATTTGCGAAAACTTCAAAAACTTCTAAGCCATCTATTCGAATTATGAAATATTGAAATATTTCAAGCTGGTTATAAAAAGTGGAAGTTTTCCTGTGCAAGTTTTTCGAGCATGGAATTTTCAAAATGTTATAAAATGTAATAAGCTTTGACAATTTGAACACAGAGGCCAAGTTGCATTTCGCATCAACAAGCAAAAATATGACCAATAAGGCTTCTGGGAACAACTGAATGAGTAAAACTTTGAGTCTACAAAACATCAAGAGACCCACGCCAATTATGACGCATTAGCAGTACCAGTCAATGTGAAGAAAAAAAATTCGCAAGTAACAAGCATCAAATTACAGAGCAGTCAATTTGTGAATCGGATGGCAAATTGTTGCGCGAAAAAATGTGTTGCGCGAAAAAATGGAGCAAGGAAGTTCGAGAAAATCGTATCTACCTGATTTCAGTTTTTATAAGCAAGCTTTTGAAAACTGCAAGAAATTTTCAAAATGTTATAAAATGTAAAAAGCTTTGACAATTTGAACACAGAGGCCGAAAGAAAGCTAAATGAAAATCATAAAAGAAAGCTAAATGAAAATCACAGAGGCCGAATGAAAGCTAAATGAGGCCGAATGAAAATCATCCCACCACACGCCATATTAAGTACAAATTAATAAATTTCGATCTAAGTAACAAATCAATGATGGCAAAAAAGCTTCCTTCAACAAATTTGGAATGATTTCTATGACGGATTAAATCTACGCTTACGCGTTAATAGCGCGAAATAGATCGCGCGTTAATACCCCCATAACTTGGAGCAGTAATAACATGAAAAAAAAATTAATATAAAAATGAAAAGAATTTTTTTTAATTTAGGATTTTTTGTAAAACTCATCCCACCACACGCCATATTAAGTACAAAGTGATTAAGTTCGCTCTTAGTAACAAATCAATAATGGCAAAAAAGCTTCCTTCAACCAATTTGGAACAATTTCTATGACGGATTAAATCTCCGCTTACGCGTTAATAGCGCGAAATATATCGCGCGTTAATTGTCCCAAATTTGCCGAAATGGCAACTTTTTTAACCCCATAACTTAACGAAAAATAATCACAGGTAAAATAGCTTTCCAAAACTAAGCTCGGGATAACAAAACTTTTTGAATGATATAAAAAAAAACCGCCAAAAACGGAGCAGTAATAACATGAAAACTACATATAAAAATGAAAAGATTTTTTTTTTTAATTTGAGATTTTTGTGGAAATCATCCCACCGCACGCCATCATAAATACCAAGTGATAAATTTCCATCTTAGTAACAAATCAGTAATGGCAAAAAAGCTTCCTTCAACGGTTTTGGAACGATTTCTACTACGGAGTAAATCTCCGCTTACGCGTTACTAGCGCGAAATATATCGCGCGTTAATTGTCCCAAATTTGCCGACATGGCAACTTTTATACCCCCATATTTTTACTAAAAATCATCACAGGTAAAATAGCTTTCCAAAACTAAGCTCAGGATAACAAAACTTTTTGAATTATATAAAAAAACCGCCAAAAATGGAGCATTAATAACATGAAACAAAATAAAAATATAAAAATGAAAAGATTTTTTTTTAATTTGAGATTTTTGTAGAAATCATCCCACTACACGCCATCTTAAGTACAAAGTGATAAATTTCGCTCTTAGTAACAAATCAGTAATAGCAAAAAAGCTTCCTTCAACCAATTTGGAACGATTTCTATGACGGATTAAACCTCCGCTTACCCGTTAATAGCGCGAAATATATCGCGCGTTAATAGTCCCAAATTTGCCGAAATGGCAACTTTTATGCCCACATAATTTTACGAAAAATCATCACAGGTAAAATAGATTTCCAAAATTAAGCTCAGGATAACAAAACTTTTTGAATTATATAAAAAAACCGCCAAAAATGGAGCATTAATAACATGAAACAAAATAAAAATATAAAAATGAAAAGATTTTTTTTTAATTTGAGATTTTTGTAGAAATCATCCCACTACACGCCATCTTAAGTACAAAGTGATAAATTTCGCTCTTAGTAACAAATCAGTAATGGCAAAAAAGCTTCCTTCAACCAATTTGGAACGATTTCTATGACGGATTAAACCTCCGCTTACCCGTTAATAGCGCGAAATATATCGCGCGTTAATAGTCCCAAATTTGCCGAAATGGCAACTTTTATGCCCCCATAATTTTACGAAAAATCATCACAGGTAAAATAGATTTCCAAAATTAAGCTCAGGATAACAAAACTTTTTGAATGATATAAAAAAACCGCCAAAAATGGAGCAGTAATAACATGAAACAAAATAAAAATATAAAAATGAAAAGATTTTTTTTAATTTGAGATTTTTGTGGAAATCATCCCACTACACGCCATCTTAAGTACAAAGTGATAAATTTCGCTCTTAGTAAAAAATCAGTAATGGCAAAAAAGCTTCCTTCAATTATTTTGGAACGATTTCTACTACGGATTAAATCTCCGCTTACGCGTTAATAGCGCGAAATATATCGCGCGTTAATTGTCCCAAATTTGCCGAAATGGCAACTTTTATGCCCCCATAATTTTACGAAAAATGATCACAGGTAAAATAGATTTCCAAAATTAAGCTCAGGATAACAAAACTTTTTGAATGATAAAAAAACCGCCAAAAATAGCCAAAAAACACGAATTTTGTCTGAAGAAAAAAAAACCACCCTGAGCAAAAATCATCCGTTTTTTTTTCGTAACGCAAGTCGGAACAATAATAGTCTGTGTTTAAACCTTTAGCATTGGCTGAACCTAATAGTTGGTTGATGATTAAAAGGAACAATTTCAAAATGAACACACTTTATCGCAACAATATTTGCGTCGCAACAACATTTGCTTTTTAGGTTGGAAAAAATGATAGTTTATACTATAACACAAGCATTAGTTATTTTAAAGAGCCATTCGTTTTCCAATGCAAGCAGTAAAGTTCTGTAAAATTTCAAATTGTTACAGCAAATCAATGAACGAAAACTTCAAGTAACCTAACAAAGCTTTGAAAATTTTCAGTTGTTTGTTAATCCAAAACGTTTTGCGAAAGATAAAATTCATTAGCTATGACACTTTGAATGTCTTCCAGTTATTTCATAGAATGAAAAAATTCGCGAAAAATTTAAAACTTTCCAAGCAAACTGTTTAAGCTACGAAACTTCAAAAAATTCAAGTTAGTTCAAAAAGTGAACCGGATGTCAAACTGTTCTTCTGTTGAAGCCTTTCAAATAATTTTCCCGTTTTTTTTCTGTGTTAATAGAGCAAGGAAATTCGAGAAAATCCTATCTATCTGATTTCAGTTTTTATAAGCAAGCTTTTAAAGCTATGAAATTTTAAAAGCGTCCATAGCACATTCCGACTTTCATTTAAAATATACGATTCAAGATATTTCATAGACTGAATCGGTTCGCGAAAAACTTAAGTTCTTATAGGCAAGCTTTTCAAGCTAAGAAAATTTGAATTATAACGAATTATGTCATAGACTGAATCGGCTTGCAAAAACTTTTAATTTTTTGAAGCAAGTTATGAAACTTTGAAAAATTGTTTCTTGGACCGAATCGGTTCGCGAAAAGTTTTTCTAAGCAAGCTTTTAAAGCTATGAGACTTTTAATTATAACAAGTTATGTCATAGACTGAACCGGTTCGCGAAAACCTATAAGTTCTTTGAAGCAAGCTACGAAAATTTGAAAAAACTCAGGTTTACCTCGGACCGAATCGGTTCGAGAAAAAATCAAGTTTTTCTAAGCAATATGTTTAAGGTATGAAACATATCCATCTAATTCATAGACCGAAGCAGTTTGCAAAAAAATTTCTTTTTTAGCATGGGGGCTGCTTTTTGTAAGTGATTCGTTCCAGACTGAAAAGAATCTGTAAACGCAACAATTTGAACAAAAATAGGCAGGTACTGCCTAGCCTTGAAGTTGCATCGAGTTTATCTTCCTCTGAATGATTCTTAAACGTTACGCTCGATAGCCTTTTAAACATTGTCTCCTAAAAATTCTTAAGCATTGTGTTCAGTTAAACATTGCGTCCATAGCGCATTACGACTTTCATTTAATATATAAGATTATGAACAAAAGATACAAGTGATTCTGTTAAACAAGTTGTTAATCCAGAAAAAAAGTTTATATTCTAACTTGATAACGCTTGCTAATCTCAAGCGTAAAAAGCGTTAAAATGAGGTTATCGAAATTCTTTGCATTCTATCCAGTTAGTCGACAAAATCAAAAGCTTACCTGATTTTCAGCTTGTGCGTGATAAGATTGACTAAGGAGGCCATCAGACACTGAAACAAATGATGATAGGGTTTTTATCTTAATCATTATAATATTATTGTACTCGGAAAATGCAATCCGAGTACAATAATATTATAATGATTAAGATAAAGAAAAATTCGGTATTTGAAAAAAATGAGTCATGGCGTAGCGGCGGTGCACAATTTTTGAAGGATGTTGTCTCCAACCCACCTGAGGATGCTATACCGGATGTGGTAGCAGATGGAGGCGGAGTGGTTTCATCTGTTTCATCTGTTTGAGTTTCTACTTCTAACACAACTCGCTCTTCCAATTTCATTTCAATCTCTTCCATAATAGTCGTATTTTCTGTTTCAGTTGACACATCCAGTTTACTAACTGGCTCTTCAAAATCAGTTTGGGTGGAAGCAGTTTGCGTGTCGGACTCGGTTTCTTCTGTGTTCATCTGATTGTGAAGCAACTCAAGGAGATTCTTCAAACTGTCATTCAATCTACTTGTCGATAAATCCTCTTGTTGCTGAAAACGAGAAAAAAACAACGTTAATGAGTTATAACCTAAGCAATTAACAAAATATGTTTCCTTTCAATATAATGGTAAAACTACCGGCAGAACTAAAAAAATACCCGCAAAATTGAAGATAGACGATTGCATAGATAAGCAACTTTTTCGGTTTCACTGACATCGACCTCTGCATTGGCAGCAACATTAGTCCCTTCAACTCGCAGTGTGGAATATTCTTCTCCAACGAGTGCATCTTCTCTAGTTGCAGTGGTCATAACTTCTGCATCAGCAACTTCTGCATTCTCAACAGATAGCTTTGACAAATCTATTGGAGCACTGTCGACTGAGCTGTGGAAACAATTTGGATCATCAAACAAATATTTCCAGTTTGCAGTATACGAAAATTCCAAGCAATTTTAATCCATTAACAGTTATTATGAGATACATCTGTTAAAGCATGAATCTTCGGGAAAATTTTCGATTAAAACAATCTGCTTACTAAGAATTACCTAAACGCGATCAGCTCAAATGGCTATGAGATTAGCAGTAATGAACCAACTCGAGTTACAGAAAATACGCAAACGTGTTTAGACCACTTTATATTTCAAAATATACCACTGCATGTTTTGAATGTACTTAAATATGAAACGATATCCGACCATTATCCCATATTATTTGAGTGGAAATTAAAAAGGGAAAATTATTACGACGAAATACCTTACCGGGATACATCTTTTCTTAAAACACCTCTTACGGTGTCAAATTTTTTGCAAAATTTAAATATAGTTTTGGATAATAATAAACAGTGTTTGTTTGAAATACAGGATGCCAATGTAGCTTTTGAGTTTTTTCAAGGATTGTTTGTAACAACTCTTGATGCCTTTGCTCCTCTGAAACTTAAGAAAAATATACAAAAAACGCGGCCATTTTGGTTTACCAATAGGCTAGCTAATTTAAGAAACAAACGTAATATAGCCCACAGAAAATGCAAAATCAACCCCGATAATGCTGATTATCTAGCAAAATTTAAGCTGTTAAGATCACAATTTGAAAAAGAAGTTAAGCAATCGAAAAAAGAACTTTATTGGAATAAATTTAAAAATTGTATCAGAGACTCAAGACAAACATATAAACTTTTGAATGATATCAGTGGCAAGAACATCAAATCAAACAAAATCCCACCCCTAAAATAATGCCTTGAAATGAAAGAAAAACCAACAGATGCTGACATTGCGAATAAATTTAATACTTTTTTCACAACTGTAGGGACTATGCTCAAAAATGGAGTTCCTAATGCTGACATACAGGTGGTTGTTAACAATCCCTTTTCTATATTTCTCTATCAAGTAAGCCCTGCAGAAATTGAGAAAATTATTAACAGCTTTGATAATAAGTACTCAGCAGGTGATGATTACGTCAGTAATATAATTGTTAAGACGTCATCCGCGGTTGTGGCGCCCTATCTAGCATTTATCATTAACCTCTCTTTTTTGAAAGGAGTGTTTCCCAATGAACTATGTAAAGCAAAAGTTTTTCCCCTGCATAAGGAAGGTTCGAAAACAGATGAAAATAATTACCGTCCTATATCTCTTCTCATCGTATGGAGTAAAGTTTATGAACGAGCAATGTACAACCGCGTATACTCCTACTTTGAGAATTTTTCTCTTCTGTTTTCAAAGCAATTTGGTTTTCGCAATAAGTATAGTACAATTGATGCTTTAGCAGATTTAACCGAAAAAATGAGGTTGGCAACATTGTCAAATTCAATTTATAGTTTATTCTTAGATTTGAAGAAAGCTTTTGATACTATCGACCATGACATACTAATCTACAAGTTAGAATGTTACGGTATCCGTAGTAATTGCTTGAACTGGTTCGTATCATACTTACGAAATCGCATGCAGCGTGTTGAAGTTAATGGCGTTAGTTCTGCTTGGAACACGGTTGACTGCGGTGTTCCACAAGGATCAATCCTAGGACCATTATTATTTATCATATACATGAATGATCTTCCTCTGACTTGTAAGTCTGCAGAAATAATTCTTTTTGCGGACGATACTAACTTAACAGCGATAGGCTGCACTGTAGAAAATATCCAGTCAGACCTTGAATGTCTGAATAAATGGTTAATAGCAAATAAATTAGTAATCAATATATCAAAAACAGTACAAATGACCGTTAAATCAAGTGCTTCCAATTGCTCTTTCAATTTGAATGCCCTTGATATAACCGTTAAACCTGTGTGCAAGTATTTAGGAACTTATATTGATTGTAAATTGTCCTTTGTCAGTCATGTTGATTTTGTTAAAATGAGACTTGGGAAACAATGTGGCATAATATCAAAATTGAGACATTATGTACCCAGGTACCAACTATTAGAATACTACCGAAGTAATGTTGTCCCTATTTTACAGTACGGAATTCTGGTTTATGGATGCTGTAGTTTCAGTGTTTTGAATCCAATTTTCATTTTGCAAAAAAAAATTTTTAAATTTATATATTTCAGAAAGCGGCAAGGTCACTGTGAAGATATATTTGAAAAGAATAAATTACTGACAGTTTTTGAATACCACGTATACGAGCTTCTGAAATTTGTTCTTAAATCTGTAAACCAATTGCACAGCGAAAATTTTCTAAACGAAATGTTCACTTTTCAAATGTCGGAGAAATTGACAAGGCGATCTAGTGCCAAGTTACTATTGGAACCTCTTTGCAAACGTAAAATCGAAAGATCCTCGATACGATATAGAGCATGCAAATTGTATAATAAACTGAATAGCTTGGGCTTGCTCCCAGTGGATATTGAAAATAGTTCTTTTATGAAAATATCGCGTTATTACCACAATTTCCAAACTTATCTGATTCAAAATATCGAATTGTTGAAATATATTTATGAATTATAAAAAAAAAAAAAAACTAATACAACCGTTGGTTAAATGCTGCTGGACAACCCCCGTAGGGTTACGAATTAGGTGGGAAAAAATGACCCTCCAGAACCCGCTAGTTTTCGAGAAATCGCATTTTTTAGATTTTTAAAAATTTTTTCTCACTAATTTGTTTTCAAAATACTTTAAAAAAAAAACTTAATACTTTTCAAAAAAAAAAAAACGATAAACGATAACTAATCCAACCACTGAGCTAGAGTAACCATGCTGAAAGAAAAGCTGTGTCAGTCACCAACAATTTAAGTATCTAATCGAATCTACCGAAACATAAAAAAAAGAATTAAAAAAAAAAAAATTATATTGGCAGATCCGTGGTGGATCCTAGGATCCCGTTATCTGTCATCTCCAAGTCTCAGAATCTGTTATGTTGTATATTTAAAATTTTATGTTTTCATATACTGGAGAAATTCATTCTTTCTTTCTTTCTTTATTGATTGAAACATAAAATTGGATTGAATAGTTAGTGTCTATTTTAAGATTGCTAGAACAAATAATCAAGAAAAAAATTCAACTGACCACAGATAAGCAAGTGAGGGCACAGAGTTAGCAATTGAATCCAGCTGGGCTGCGGTAACTTCCGGCAGTTGTTGGTCAAACTCTGGACATCTTAGAATCTACAATACAGACAACGTCGTTCAATTTACTTCATTAGCTAATGTAGATTAATTGAATTACTCGCTGAAAAGATGTCTCACCTGGTTAGCTGGAAACGGTTCTGTGAGAAATGGGAAAAACCGAAACAAGAAATGCGTGGCTATTCTCTGATAAAAGTCAGACCTCTTCTGATGTTCCTCAGTCAGGAACTTCTGAGCAGAGCCGCTTATTACCAGACCTTTCTAAAATTAAAACATATATATCACATACATTACACGGAAGCGAAGCTTTGCTAACAAAGTGAGAAAGCAACAAAAGTAGCGCTGAAAAGGTAAACACAGAGGCGACGTTGCAATTCGCATTCACAAGCAAAAATGTGACCGATAACGCTACTGGGAAAAACTGAATGAGTAAAGCTTTGAGTCTACAAAACTTCTTAAGTGACGCACGCCAATTATGAGTCTACATAATTGTAAAGTGACGCAGGCCAATTATGACGCATTAGAAATTTACCAAGTAGCATGCCCCAATTTACAGAGCGGACGCATTTTAGCTAGTATACGGAAAAGTTGATTGAAACTTCCGACCCTGCCCAGGTTCGAACCCCAATTTTGTTGATGGTCTCTTTGTTCCTTAGCTGCAAGATGCATTGGCGCTAAAGTGCTATTTGTAATATAATAGCCTGCGTTAATATCCTCAGCATTGGCTGTACTTAATAGCTGGTTATTGATCAAAATGAACACATTTTGTCGCAACAATAGTTGCGCCGCTACAATATTTGTAACTTAGGTTGGAAAAAAAGAGTTCATACTACAACACAATTCTTTGCTTGTGTAAAAAGGAAAGAAAAGGTTAAAACAATCGTTGAAAAATAAAACTTTGCATTGTTACGGAATGGACCCGCCGACCTGTAGATTAGGAGTCTTACGTCCTTTTGTCTGCCCCACGTTTTCTTGACAAAAACTTGAGTTGGATTTGCGAGTTGGGTTGGAAAAAATGCGGATTCGAGTTATAATACTACGCTCACTAGCTTGTGCAAAAATAGCCTAAGCTCAAATTCAACATTTAAAATCTACCTCCAGAAATTCAGAAGAAAACTGTTTCCTTCTGCAGATCTCAGTCACAATTTTGCATGCGTATTCGGCCGAGGTTAGCACCTGTTCCAGCATCTTCACTTTTTCCGCAACTCGCTTCAGATACTCTTTCCGCATCTTAATTTGGGATTCACATCGGACTAATTTAGATTGCATCTTCACAATCCATCTAAAAATTGAACCATTAAAACACGCTAGACCTCCCATATCGATACACAACAAGGCTCATATCTCTAAAAAGACCACCCACTTGCATGAGCGTGTATTTTTATGGCCTCGTTGTTTCGCTCCCAAAAAGATACTTTATGATGTGATTTATTACTAAGAAACTCATTGGGTTGAAATTGAGGAGAAATGATTGGATGCAAATGAATGCATGTTATTCTCACTGTAGTCTGAGGTGCAGATTCTGAGACAGCTCCTCCTTGGCTTTTTTGTTGTAGTGGTTGACATTGACTATGCGCACGTGGTTCTCGCTCATCTCCTGCAGCTGCTGTATGTGGGCAGTGCACAGGTCACTCAACACACTCCTGTCCCCAATGGTGTGCAGGCGAGTCCGGTTGGCCACAAATGCCTGCAGCAAAAAGTTACCTTTCATATCAAACAAATTCGCGCTCAGCTCAGGCCAAATAGAGTTGGAAAAGAGTAATGAACGCAAGGAAACTGAAAAAATCGACTTATTTTTTCAAATCTTCAACTTTTCAATTTCGAAGAAAAAAATAGATGGCCCTAAAGCTCTTTGAAATTGCAGAACATTTTACAATGGACACCTTTTTGTAAAAAATAACCCAATTTCAGAAAACTGGATCATTACGTAAAATGATTTGTGAGCGAATGATTTGGTTTTGGCTTTGGATCAGGTTTGAGTGTTTGACTGCTTATGTTATGAATGCTATGATCGGAATGCGGTTGAATTATTGGTTGGCCTAATTTTGTCCCTTTATTTTCCGCGCGTTTTTTGATCAGCCGATAGGGCGCTAGTTTCCTATTGGCTAATTGGTTCAAAATTAAGTTTTCAATCATTTCAAGATTGTTAACGAATGAGTTGATTGACGCCACAACGCCACAACAAATTCCTCATCGTACGCGCTGGGGGGTATTGCAATTCCAACCGGATTTCGGGATATATAGTCAATTAATCCCATTTTGCTCCCTGCCAAATGTTTGATATCGAAGTTAAAAGGGATTAATCGGTCGATCCATCTTGTGAGCCTACTTTGACTTGTCTTGGATCTTTCACTGGCTGGCGTTTAAAGCACTGATCAAAGCTGGATGGTCGGTAATTACCGTAAAGTTTTTTCCGTAAAGATAATATTTGAAGTGCTCAATCGTCCACACGACACCCAGGAGTTCTAACTCATTTACTGAATATTTTTCTTCTAACGAAATTAGGAATCTTGATGCGTACGCGATAGCTACCCACCCCTCGTTTGTGTTTTGTTCTAGGGCCGCGCAGAGTCCGTATGAATCCGTGTCAAGATTTTGGTCAAAATGTTTGTTTTGTGTAATTTCTGTGACTAACTTTTCAATTTTATGGAATGCGGAATCATACTCCGTCGGACAATTAAGTTTTTTGTGTTTGTCTGTATTCTTAAGAAGGGGACGGAGTGCTACCGCGGCCTGTGCCAAATGTGGGATGTACCTTGTAAGATGATGTATTGATTCCATGAAACTTTCAAGTTGTTTAAACGTTATAGGTGGTGGAAGTTTTTTTACTGCGTCTGTTTTTCTTGAAAGGGGGGTCGTTCATTCACTATCTATAAGAAACACAAGCCATTCAATTTGTTTGCACGCGAACTTACACTTATCGAATGATATTGCAAGGTTTTCTTCATCCAGTCTGTGAAGAACTTTTGTGATGATCAGAATGTCATCTAAATACGCGTAAGAATGTCATCTAAATACATTGGTTAATGTTAGATCGATCGCTTTCTGAAATTCTGCCGGCATGTCTGTCAGGCCGTAGAACCCAGTTTGGAACTGATAAGTTTCCGTGGCATTTCCCACTATGACACTAAAATTACATTGTTCTCTTGTTTTCTTATCCAACGGGATTTGTGAATACGCATAGCGTAAATCAAGGGAAGAGAACAGCGTTTGTTCTTTCATACCAGATTTTATTGTTTGTGCAATGTTATCGAGTAAAAAATCAAAATTCGGCATCTGATACTTGTTAATTTTCTTTGAGTCCAACGCAAGTTTGACTGTTTGGTCCTTTTTTACTGCTATTACGACCGGACTGATTAATTTTTTATCAGAACACTTTTCCAACTTTATAAAATGTTTTTAGTCGATTAGTTTGTTGGGTTCATTTTCCACTCTTTCTTGTAGATGAATCGGAATACGTCGACCCTTTTGTTGAATCGGTGTAACGTCCGGGATGAATTGTGTTTTCATTACATGATTTTTTGCTTTTCCAATTCTCACGCAGAAGTTTTCGAAATTTTCTTTTACCCATTGTTTTATACCAGGGTTTGATGTGTTTTCTTCTGTTATGGTCAACACTTGTTTATGCTGTGGTTTTTCTTGACTCAATTTTATACGGAAGCTTGAGAGTAAATTACGGCCGAGAATGTTGGCCTTTTGGTCGTCAACCACGATAAATGGAGCCCACTGGATAGTCCAGCCGCCGGATTCTATTGCTAAGATTAGTCCTCCCTTCGGAATAATAACTTTTCCATTATAGCAAGCTAGAGTTCGTGCGGTGTCTTCCGGTGGGATTTTTTTTTTAAATAGTAGTTTCATCTTTTAAATGTATTCGACGTGCCATAGTTTCATTTAGGAATGACATTGGACTCCCTGAATCCGCAATGGCAAAAATTTTATCGGATTTTGTTTATAGTTTCACAATATGTCCATTTAAACCTTCCTCACTGATTTTCACCGTTTGTTTAATTTCGAATGCATCTGAAATTGACAACATGGAATAATTATCTCTCTGCAATTCCTCCCAACCGTTTTGTGACGTGAAATCTGCGAAAGCCACTGGGTCATTATCCTCGTTTTCGTGATGCTGGCTTTCGTTTTCAATTCGTGATTCATTATCAGCGTTAGTTTGAAGAAAATTTACATGATCTGAACGACAGACCTTTGCAAAAGGTCCACGTTTTGCACACTTGGTGCAAACTTTTATCTCGGGCTGGACATGATTGTAAATGGTTTGGGCTAAACGGGTTTCCACATTTGTAGCATTGTTTTTGTGAAGCGTAATTTTGTGCACCTCTGTTTTGATTTCCCCTTGTTATGATTTTGTCTTCCCCGCGAGTACTTTCCTCTATTGTTGTTCTGAAAAGATGAAGAAAATCCGCCACGTCCTCCTCTGGGTTGAATGTAACCCATTGGCTCTTGCTTGATCGCAACGGACGAACTTGTTCCGATTGGGTTTAACTTCATAGTTTTGCTATGTTCAATGCCCTTCTCGCGTCTTATTGCATATTCATATACTTCTTGTGGTGTTCTTGTTTCAGCTAGCAATTCCTCGCCGATTTTTTCATTGTTCATGTGGGCGGTGAACATATCACGAACCCATTCATTTTCTCTATCTCCAAAGTCCGCTAGCTCTACTAGTTGCGCGTGGAGTTGTTCATTTTTTCTTTGTTTACGGCAGATGAAGTTGTATCTTTCGAATGCTATGATTCTATGGGTAATAAAAATTTCTCCTAATACTTGTTTTTAGCTGTCTTGTCGTTGTCGTCTGTATATTTAGCCCTGGTCGCTTCAGTTGAACCTGTCTCTGACCTTCCATGCCTAGGCATAGAAATAGGTAGCTTCGCACTCTCGCATCCGCTTCGTCCCAGTTTACGGAGTTACACATATGGTCTTTGTCTCTTGGTTTTAGCAACTATTCTCCCAATTTACATTCTTTTCCTGGTTTCTGACATCTCGGCTTCTCCGTTGTGCGTCCGTTTCTCCCTGTATCTCGACTTCCAAAATTGGTTCAGATGGCAGAGTAACCTCAGGTTTCTCACGTAGTAGATTTCGGATCTCTATTCCGTCTTTTGCGAAAACCGCGAGCTCTACAAGTGCAACCCACTTGCTCCATTCTAGCGGGGGCTCCGCTGATGCTTTCTCCCTGAACGAGTTTATATTGAGTGGGTTTTTCGCAGATCCTGCTGACTGCGCCATGTCATACCAGTAGGTATGCGTAAGGTTTAATATTGAATCCGAACGGATTGGCGAGCTAATTTTGAATGAGACCAAGACGTAAATAAGACAACTGAATCATAACTGTTTATTTTATCTTCTGATGACAATTCACTAAACTCATTGTTTAGCCTTGTCTTTCAAGGTCACTTGACCAGCTCAACGCAGTGAGCCTAATAAATAACTATACATGATACATATTGCCAATCCGGCCGGATGACAGAGGCGAAGCTGCGCGTCGCAAACACTAGCCAGAACACGACAAAAAGCAGCTCTAGACTTCCAAAAAAGCAATAAGAAAAAGTAAATATAAGCCTCGAATTAGTAAAAATTCGGTGACGTCTCGGACTCGAACCTATTGCGACCTAAAAAAAGTTATGAGTCTCCCCCACTAACCATGGAAGCTTAGACACAAACAAAGCCGAGAACAGATGCTATGAAATTTCCAATGCTCCAGATCAGATTATAGCAAAAAGGCACACAAGAGTACACTTTTAATGAACACTTTATTTGCGAGCTGGGTAAGAAAAAAAGAGAGGTTCGTAATAAAACATGCTCGCTAGCGTAAATACAAAGCAAAGAGATTGAAACAAGCGAACTGATATGTGATATGCCTTAATCAAAAGATCAACTCATCACTACGCGACACTCCTATGATAAGCCACTCACATTGTGAATGGTGTCCTGTCTCTGCATAGCCCTCTCCAACTGCTTGCCACTCTTCTCTAGCTGGCCCAAACGATCGGAGAAATTTCGGATGCGCTTCATGTCCTCACTGCCCCTGATCTCATCCACCACCCCTCCCACCTCCCTGCCCAACAGCTGTAGACTGCTCTCACCGTACATGGCCACCACCACTCCCATCTGCGAACCAAGCTGGTCCAGGTCAAAGAAAAGCTCCTGCAGCCAATCACAGTCATGTGTCACAGGATCTTGTTAACTATTTCCCCACCTATTGCAAGGGGGGGGGATGGGGGAAATAGTTAACAAGGTACAAAATTCGTATATGCTTAACTGATCAATTCTTTCTTTATAGGGGAAGATTCGTTACAAGGTACCATAGGGGGGAAATAGTTAACAAGATCCGTTTCACAAAAAAAAAACATTTCTTAAATTGATCTTCCACATAGACTCTTTATGCTTAGATCCCGGGCTTCACATCATAAGATTGGCTTTCTAACACACATATCAAAAATTGCACATATCACAGCCCCGTATTGCCTGATTCGACAGAAAGCAAGAACTCATTTATCCAATATCATGTGAAGCAAAAACTTCAACAATACAATTTGAGCATAGCCAACAGACAGTTGGAAAAGAGTCAATGAACGCAATTAAACTTGAAAAAATACGAACTTGTTTTATGATAAAATAGATGACCTCTAAGTTTTTTGAATTTCTGGAACAACTTATGATTGACACTTTTTTGATGAAATTAACCCAATTTGAAAAAAAAATGAATCAATGGGTAAAATTTTTATTCCGCTGGGAATTCAAATCAATAAAGTATATTTTAAAAACTAGAAGTCATTCACGTTTTTCCTGACGTTTTGCATTTTCGCTGTTCGATAGTGGAGTTTTCCTTCCTTTTAACAAAGTAAATGAGCTGAATTTAATAAAAAATCAAAAGTAAAAACACAAAAAAATTAGAGCCTGAACAAAATTTAGGACTTTCTTATAAAAAATCACAACCTACATAAGAATGTGAACTACGTTCATCAAACCTTAACAAGGTGTTGCAGGTTGCAGAGAAATACGTAATGTTATTCTAACCAGAGTTGGAACCGGGCCCGGGCTTTTTACGGGCCGGGCATCATTTTTAGGATCAGCAATCGGTCCGGGCCTGGCTTCCAAAAGAGTTCACACCTTTCACACTTCACTTCACACCTGTTGAGGCTTCCGTTCACACCTTTAGCACTTCTTCTACACCTTTCAACGCTTTTTTGAGTCCATTGACACCTTTTGATGCATGACAGCTTGATGCACCGAGACTCAATAACACCTTTGTGATAGGGTATATAAGGCACACATATTTTAAGAATATCATTCAATCGCTTTCATTTGTTACGTCTGTTTCAGTTGATTTTGACTATTCCTAATTGCGACAGCGTCACTCTTACCCCCAAGGGAGGCAAATGCAAAGCAGATGTTTGGCAGACCTTTCAGTCAGCTGACAGCAGCTCCTACCTGTTCGAGCTATAAGCGCCCAGAGCGAGCGTGACTTCAGCAGAGCTGGGCAAATCCGGGCAGTCAAGCATGCCGTGGTTTCTGCGGCAAAAGCCAACCAAATCGAACTGCTAGGATCGGCTGCAGCCAATGCACTTATTAAATTTTTCAAATTTGATTTTCAATTTACTTTTTGTTTGGAAATCCGAGTTTTCATTGCAAACGGGCCCGGTTTTGAACTTTATGTTCTCCAACCGGGCCGGACCTCAAATTCGAACCCGGTTCCAACACTGCTTCCAACGCTCCTAAGAACTTAAAGGTTCTTTGAATTAACTTTTAAACACTATTGAAATTCGGAAATATACAAATTAGGTTTCGTTCAAATGGAACTCCAATCTCACATTTTTGGAGAGGAAGTCGTACAGCGAGACCGATTTCCTCTGTTCGCCATAATTGGGTGTCATATTGTCAAACTCCTGGTAGCTAAATGCAGGTTGCTGACCTACTGTGCTTCTATAATGGGAGGAAGAAAAGCTGCTATTGTTTGAATAGGGTCCACTGCTCACCATCAGATTGTCGAACAAGGACTGTGGCATCGGAAAGGCTTTGAGGCTGTCTAAAGCTTCGGGAAGTCTGAAAAAATATTGCAACAGGATACAAACTGCTATTATTCATATACAAGAAAATCGCAAAACATAAAGATTAGAGCATATTTGGTCAAGAGCGTACGCTTCTATCAACCGAAAAAATGCAATCAAGGGGAATGTAGAACGAACTAGAACATGAACACTATTTCTCGTATACTTACTGTGCGACAAGTTGATGGAGTCTGTTCAATTGATCCCTGGACTTTGTAACTTCGGCCGACAGTTGATCATTGAGGTCCAAGACATACCTAAACGTTCACACAGAGGCGAAGTTGCACTTGCATACACAAGCAAAAACATGACCGATAACGCTGCTGGGAAAAACTGAATGATTAAGACTTTGAGTCTACAAAATTTCTTAAGTGACGCACGCCAATTATGAGTCATTTTAACTAGGACGCATTTTAACTAGTTTACGAAAAATTCATTAAAAACATCCGACACTGCCCAGGTTCGAACCCTCTTACTTTGTTGCGGGTCTCCTTCCCTACCTCTACGCTACAGATCCATGATACCTTGAGCTTAAGTGTTTTTAGTAATATTGTAGTTTGTGGTAATATCCTAGGCATTGGCTGTACATAACAGCTGGTTATAGATCAAAATGAACACTTTTTTCGCAACAATATTTGCGTCGCAACAATATTTGCGACTTAGGTTGGAAAAAAGAGAGCTCATACTATCACACAAGCTTTGCTTGTGTAACTAGCATCGTATTGAATTCCAGCGAATGTCTCAAACAAGAATTTCATGAAATCTATCAGATAGCCCGCCGTATGAACATTACTGAGTTTGGGAAACTGGAAATCTGAGATGCAGCAACTATTTAACGAAAACGCTCGGATCAGAACTTAGTATACACAGAGGCGAAGCTGTGCTTTGCAAACACTTGCGAGAACACGACTAAAAACACCATCAGCACGGCTCTATCACGAGAAGTTAAAAAAGAAGTAGTAATAAGCCTTGAATTAGCAAAAACTCGGCTAAGTTCAGGATTCGAACCTGCGACCGACAGCAATCAAGATATTTTGAGTCTCGCGGTCTATTCACTCAGCCACGCAAGCTTAATAACCGACAAACACTAGTCACAAATAAAGCAGCTATATATGCTAATAACTTGCCAATGCAATTCAGCAAAAGTGTCACTAAATACAAATAGACTCAATTTTGCAAGTATTAATTTGGAAAATAACAAACTGAAGGCAACCACACTAACTTTGCATGTGACATATCGCAATTCATAAAGCCACATTATGTATAAATTATGCATTTCAAAAAAATTGCTAGATATATTAAGTTAGAAAATTTCTGAAATCGAGTTTTCATTATTGATATGTTGAATGTTGTTTGAAAAAAATCTCGTTCATTTAATGAATTAAAAATGCATCAACTGTGTTAACTTGTTACTATTTGAATGTCAAAGCACAGGCTACCAAAAAGCTGTAAATGTGCCCCTACCATTATTGGGGTGCCGCACCGGCACCAATATTTGCGACTTAAGCTGGAAAAAAAGAAGGTTCGTACCAATACACCCGCTTCGCAAAGCAGTCCATATTTTTATTGTGTGAGACATGTACAACACTTACTCAGTGTACTTTTCTAAGTTTGCGACACTGGCCAGCCATCCCTGGTGCTGCAAGTGTTGATCTCTGGTCAAGGATATTGTCTCTGAGGCCAGCTTCTGATCCACCTCAACTACTCGTCGCGCCAGATTTGTCCTGCTCTGTACTAGCTCTATACTAGCCCCTGTCTGACCCAGAGACCGTTCCAGATCATTCTTCACATCACTAGCTTCTGATAAAAAAATGACACTCATTACGGCATGTCAAACACACGAAATAATCTTATGTTACCACCCATTTGGTGCAAACTGATAGTTGGTCCCTGAAGCAAAATTTATGCTTTCCAAAATCCTCGCAATTTTCCACATCTGTTACTTTCATAAAAACTATGGTGCTCATCTTTTATTACTGTTTTTCGAGGCATCCAATTTTTAGGAGACATCACTCGAATGGCGGATAAACCAATTTGATGTTCTCGCATTTTGGTGCTAACTTCATTGATAATCGCTGACGATTATGGCAATTGTCCATGTATCAAAAATAAAATATATTTATTTTTATTATAATGATTATCATTTTTAATATGATTAACAATCTTGTGTGGCACTCGCCAAACAACTTTGAAGCCAAAACAGTCAAGTCGAAATTGCAAAAAAAACAACATTCCACTAACTTTATAAATTATGACGCTTAAAACTAATTACACACACTTTCAAAACAAAACTTTCATGCTTGAAACTAATTACACAAACTTTCAGAAAAACGTTCATTCTTTAAACTAAATAAACATACTTTGACAACAAAACGTTCATGCTTTAAACTAATTACACACATTTTCAGAACAGAAAAGACCAGAAGCCAGGCATCTAAATGTAAAAAAAATTACAGAATATCTCATCTTTTTCCCTAACAAAATACTTTTGCGTGCACAAAAATCAGAAATTCATGATCTACACTTGCATACTTCGAAAATAAACTGAAAAAGTATTTTCTTAAAAACTTGAATAAAAGATTACTGAAATACAAAACCCAGTAAGCCGACAAATATTGGACCGACATCCATGAAGCCGACAGAAAATCAATTATAAAATTTGTTCAGCTGTAGACCCAGGGGCGTATTTAGGGAGGGGGGACCCTTAAGAATTAGACCCCCTCACCAACCAAAGGATCCCCCCTTTGGTATTATTTTATCCATTTTCTTCCGTTATCATTTTCATTCGTTATCATCCACTATCATTTTCAGCCGACCCTTAAAATTTTCTAGATGCGCCTTTGGCGCCAATATGTACTAATTTAGAGTGGGTAGCACGCGCCAAAAAAAGCGATTTTTGTCAATTTTTTCAAAAGATGACTGAAAACGGGTTTTTTGGGCTGTTTTTTCAAACATTTGCATGCGGTGCAGAAAAGTGTCAAAATAGGGCTTTCGTAAGGTTCTGGAAGCGCTCGGAAAATCAATTAACTCGGCCTTTAAAAAAATCGCCAAATTTTTTTTTGAAAATCCGCCCTTCTCCCTCAAGAAAAACCTAGATCCGCCCCTGTCTATACCCAGTATCACTTCAGCTACAGAATTAGAACTACAGCTGTTAAAAATGCAACGTGACTAGAACTGGAGATCCTAAAATTGGCGATCATGTGAACATGCGATCATTGTTAACTATTAAAGAGAGGCGAAGTTGCACTTTGCATACACAAGCAAAAATATGACCGATAACGCTACTGGGAAAAACAGAATGAACAAAACTTTGAATCTACATGTTTTCTTAAGTGACGAACGCCAACTATGTGTCTACATAATTGCTAAGTGGCGCAAGCCAATTATTACGCATTAGCAGTACCAGTCAATTTGAAAAAAAAAAGAAATTTACCCATTAACATGCCTCAATTTATAGCGCGGACGCATTTTAACTAGTATACGAATAAGTTCGTTAAAAACATCCGTCCCTGCCCAGGTTCGAACCCTCTTATTTTATAGCGGGTCTCCTTCCTTACCTCTGGGCTACAGATCCATGATACCTTGAAGCTAAAGTGTTATTTGTAAAATAATAGTCTGTGTTAATATTCTTAGCCTTGGCTATAATTAAAAGCTGGTTATTCATCTTATAAACATACTGCAACAAAAGAGCACTTTCAAAATGAACACCACTATTTGCAACTTAGGTTGGAAAAAAGAGACTTCATACTATCACACAAGATTTGCTTGCGTTATTATCGTACCTTTATTTTCTGAATTTTTAAACGTAAAATTGCAAAAACATTAGAAAAAGAACAAGACTGCTCGTATCAGGGCAAAGCCCTGATTGTTCCGACTACCTTTTAAGGTTTATGGAGCAGTAGTAACATTCAAAAATTACATGTAATAAAACAAAATGAAAATATCCCCCCACACGCCATATAAAGAACAAAAAGATAGATTTCGCCCCTTGTAACAAATCAATTACTGCAATTAAGCTTCTTTCAACCAATTTGGAACAATTTTAAGACGGATTAACTCTCCGCGTACGCGTTAATAGCGCGAAATATGTCGCGCGTTAATTGTCCTAAATTGGCCAAAATGGCAATCTTTAAACCCCCATAACCTAACGAAAAATGATCACAGGTGAAATACATCTTTTCAAATTGAAGCTCAGGACAACAATACCTATTGAATGATATTTAAAAATTCCGTCAAAAATGGCTTGTTAAAGTCGATTTTTGCCTGAAGAAAGAAAATCCCGAGCACAAATATTCCGTTACTTTCGTAAGAAAATCCCGAGCACAAATATTCCGTTACTTACTTCCGTTACTATTCCGTTAGAGCTCAAAAGGCAGTCAGAATATTTTCAAATTTACTTTCAAATATATTTTCAAATATATCGCATCATTTACTCTTTTGGTTCAAGGTGGAAACAAAAGACAAATAAGACTGCTCGTGTCAAGGCGAAGGCCTGATTGTTCCGACTGCCTTTTGAAGTCAATGGAGCAGTAATCACATAAAAAAAACTAGCTGTAAAAAAAAATAAAATGAAAAAAATTATTTAAATTTTGAGATTTTTTTTGTGAAAATCATCCCCCAAACTCCATATAAAATACAAAGTGATAGATTACGCTCCTTGTAACAAATCAATTTTGGCAAGTAAACTTTCTTTAATCAATTTGCAACAAATTCTAGGGTTAATAGCGCGAAATATATCGCGCGTTAATTGTCCCAAATGGGCCAAAATGACAATATTCAAACCCCCATTACTTTACAAAAAATGATCACATGTAAAACATCTTTTCAAATTTAAGTTCAGGACAACAATACCTATTGAACGATATTTAAAAATTCCGTCAAAAATGGCTAGTTGAAAAGTCGAAATTTGTCTGAAGAAAAAAACCCACCCCGAATACAAATATTCCGTTACTTTCGTTACGAAAGTCGGAACAATAAATACACTGAAGCTAGAGCAAAAACAATTTTAAAAAAATGTGGTTTGTTAGTTCTTTACCATATGAGTGGTCGTGGACACTGGCAGAGGGTGGATCTGGATTTTGGATGGTCCGCTTGCTGAAGAGGAAGATGGGGTTGGAGTCCCCGGTGCCACAGGAGTAGTGAGCCAGTTTGCGGTCGTGTTGCAACTGGACCCCACTCTCCATGATCAAAACCTGATTCTCCGGCTCAATGCCCAGCTCTTCGTAGATGCCATACTGCAGAGCCTCTACTCTGAAATCGAAAACATGTTATAGTGTGTTCTATATTGTTTTTTATGTTCTCAGTTTCTGATTGTTATTTACTCAAATGTACAAAAAATGCTGAATGAATTTGCCATATAATTATTAAAACAGACAGAATGGTCAAACACAGTACGCCGATTCTTTAATACTAAAAGTATTAATTCCAATTCCAATTCAACGTAATTTTTAAGTTGGTTACTAAAAATTACGCAGATTGACTTACTGAGCGCCCACGTATTTCTCCACTGAAAACTCGTGTGTTGACCCGTTGTCAACCAGAAACACACATAAGTCGCCAGACATTTTAAGCTCAGCCACAATGATTCATTTTCACCAAGTTTGAGGCCCCGACGCGTTTTTCATTCTATTTTCTGAAAAAAACTACTTGCATATCTTAAAACAGTCAGCACAGTTTCAAATCTAGTTGATAAAGAAATAGATGGTGGTATACATAAGTAAGTTACAACAAATTCTCATGGCCAGCTCAATATTTAAAGGGGTGTGCGATCAAAAGCATTAGAATTTTTACAGATAAAACTCAGCGAAATATTGTCTGATATTAATGATCAAATCATAAAAATCTAAGAAAACAAATTGAGACACAGCAACAACTAACAACGAAGTTTTTAAGCAGCTGAATCACAACCGACCTAGAGATATCTTCAAATTTTACTCCATAGTCGAAACATTTCGAGTTCAAGCTATATACAATTCAATTCCAACTGTGAACGAACTATCCTTGACATTTCTCAATAGTTGTCAATTCAAGACAGACCAATCGAAAAAACTCCAATCAATAAGATAGCATAGCATACAATACAAAAAGAGTTGTTTCAATTTAAAGGGTAGTTTTATTGAGGTTCGTGAATCCACTTCCCACGCAGGTCATCATATGATTCACAGATACCCCAACAGTGTCTTCCGCTTCTGGTCTGACCTCGTCTATCTTGAACATGATGCCGAAGAACTCCTTGATATGCTTCAAATACTGAATGCTGAAATTTACTAGAATTAAAAAGTAATCTGCTACTCCTTTGGAATGTGGTCCCGCTATTTTAGTGAAGCCATTCTCCTTTCACAAAACTCGCTTGGTTAAATCTTCCGGTAGCTATTCGACTTTTGATAAGCTATTGATTTATTATGCTTTCTTTGAGATTCTTCCGTTTGTAAACGTTTCCGAATTCATTTCTAATTTTGAGTTTCCTCTAAATGAAGATGAACACTGATGTTAACTTCGACTAGATTTAATGTTTTTACGCGGATTTGGTGCAGCAAAATAAAGATTTGGTGCAGCAAAAAATGACTAGTTGATTTTGTTAAGTAATCAACTGATTTGCATTTGGGGAAACTTTAGGGACCACTCTTCTAATTAAGTACGGATAATCTTACAAAGAACCAGGGGCGGATTTAGGGGGGGGGGGGGGGGGGGGCGGACGCCCCTTCCCCTCAGGGATTCGACTCCCTGCCGACCCAAAGGTTCCCCCCTTTGATACTTTTTCAGAATTCCATTTTTGGCCGACCGACCCTAAAATTGTTCTAAAGGCGCCTTCGGCGCCAATATATACTAACTTTGAAGGGGAGCGCGCGCCAAAAAAACGCGATTTTTTGTCAAAATTTTTCAAAAAGTGCCCAAAAACGGCTTTTTTGACGTGTTTTTTCAAAAATTTGCCTGGGCGCAGAAATTTTAGCCAAAATAGGGGCAAAACAGTGCTTTGGGAGAGCTCGAAAAATCAATTTGGTCGACCTAAAAAAAAAAAGGTCGTCAAAATTTTCCAATTTTTGTTGAAAATCCACCCACCCCTCGAGAAAATCCTAGATCCGCCCCTGCAAAGAACCGCTTCAAACTTCACTGTTTTTCCGATAGGATGTATTACTGCTTTCCTTATTCATATTCAGCAATGCTTGACAAAAAAAAACGAATAATTGACTAATCCCTCATTGCTATATTATTTCATTGTTTTTAAGCGCGTGCAAAAACTGATCGAACGAAACAGCGGACAAAATTCAAACCTGTAGGGTGTCAATTTTTCGCCCACCAATATTTTGCAGACATCTTTGGGACATAAGATCATGTATTGAAAGGCCAATGACTGGCTCAAATCATCTACACACCCTCCGTTGAAAATTTGGTCTAATAATTTCTCAGCACATTCTTCTCCGATGAACTCTGGAACTGATGGCTCTTTACTTTTACTCGAGTTCGAACATACTTCAGCCGTGTAGTAAACCTCTTTTGTGGTTTCTGCTACTAAAGTAATTCCGAAACCCGGCGAGTTGCCCGCCTGGTCCCCGCGCCTGTGGTCAGAATAAATGTAAACATCTGGGACGAAATTGGTCAGCACTGCTTTGGCAGCTTCCAGTATGCGGGTAGCAGTCGCTGGAGAAACTCTACAGCCGTACCTGTTCAAATCATGTTATGTCAAATCAAGTGTCAAAAGCTCGACAGATTCCTGGTAAAAAATAGTTTAATGCAAATTACCGATTTGCACTTTTTGCTTCATTTATAAAGAAAACTAAAAACAATCATTGCAATCTTCCGTCTGCAAGAACCAGGATTAAAATATAATTTCTGAAAATGAATCAACATACGCGACTCCTCTTATTCGTTTCACCAATCCTGGATCTGTGAACTGCATTGGCTTCAGACTCCTTTTGACGGGACAGGTGAAGTAAATCTGACCTCCCCCTTCCAGGGGCATCCCCCTCCGGTTGATCTGAGCCAGCAAAGCAGTAGTTTCAAAAATAAGTGTTAACTTGGCAATGAAATTTGATATATAGTTCCGAAAACTAAGAAATTCGTAGACATTTTTTGGCAATTGAATCCTTACTGTGACAATACTTCACATATAGCATCACCATTTTGCATTATAAATAATGGCACTATTTTCAAATCCTAATAACCTCAGTATCTTGCCATTTCAATCAAATTTTATAAACAGTCGCGTTGAACAATGTCGAAATAATGCTCAGATTATCAATAATTAAGTTAATTTCTAAAATAGCGTAAAAACGATCATAAATCTTCCAGCGTAGTTAACAATAATACTCTATTTCAATTGCGTCATGATTCGGTCACTTATTCTGGAATGTGGTGTGATAATCTGGTCCAACCAATTAATTTTAATCAAGCCAGATAAACGAGAGACCAACCTTGAGTTCAAGACCTTCATCTATGTAGTATCTCTTCAGCAAAGGCAGCATTGAGTACTTGATTTGATCAGGCGAAGGGTCAATCTGATTGTTAGTCACTCCGTTTAAGGTCACCCGCAGAGGTAGTTTGCAGAACGGCCCCACGAACAAGAGAACCTCTAGATAATAACCTGAAATTACCAGAGCTCCATTAATTTGAAATTAAAAACCCGTTATCTTCTACGTATTATCATTTTCATATAAAATCGAGGTATGCTTCAAACTTTAAAGCCAATCTCAGTTGTCAAATCAAACATAAAAAATAAAAAGACTGCCTGGCTTTTTCATGGGAGCAGGCCAGTGAAAGACAAGATTAAAAAAAAAATTACCAACTGCTCGTGCAATGTTACAGTCATGTGTCAGTTGTCCTCCTCGCAGCATTCCAGGTACCATGGAGAATCTAGTTCCTAAAGATCGAAAATCACAACGCGGTCACATTGAAATCATACTAGCAAGCGCGCCTCCAATAGTCAATTGGCTCGCAAAAACTTAGTTGTTGTTCTGATCAAGCTATCCAAGCAAAGAAACATTGAACAATTTCAAGTTTAGCCCTATCGTAAATCGGTTTGAAAAGCTTCAGGTTTCATACAACGAATTGGTTCTCGAAAAAATGAAGTTTTTTTAAGCAAGATATTCAAGCTATAAAATTTTGAAAACTTTCAAAATAATTCACGAAGCAAATTGGATGGCGAAACTTTAGATGGAAGCTTATGAAGCGAGGAAAATTTGAAATATTTCAAATTAATTCATAAACTGAATCGGTTCGCGAAAAATGAAATGTCTCTAAGCAAGCTATTCAAGCTATAAAACTTTTTTGTTCAACTTATATCGTAGACCGAATCGGTTCGCAAAAAAAAACAATAAAAACCTAAAACTAATCACTTCGCAAAAGAGTTCTTCTAAGCAACCTTCAAAAGCTAAGAAACCTTTAAATATTTCAAGTTATTTCATGGACCAAATCGGTTCACGAAAAACTTAAGGTTTTCTAAGCAAGCTCTCAAAGCTATGAAATTTTTTCAAGTTAACTCATAGACGAAATCAGTTCACAAAAAGTTGAAAGTTTTCTAAACAAGCTTCTAAAGCTATAAAATTTCGAAATATTTCAAGTTATTTAGAGACCGAAACATTACTCTACGCGAGCTACTAAATCTCTAAAATGTTTATAAATTTCAAGTGGACAAAAGGACAAATCAGCGTTGCAAAATTCTTGCTTAAGAAAGTTTGCAAAACGATTCGGTCTATGAGATAACTTGAAACATTTCAACGTTTTTCTGAGCACGCTATCCATGTGATGAAATTTTGAAATATGTCAAGTTCTTTCAGAGAAAAATGAGTAGCGGGAAGTTTCAAATTTTCTAAGCACGCTATTGAGGCAAAAAAAATTGAATTATCTCAAGTTTACACAGAGCAAATCAATTGCTGAAAAAATTATATTTTTGAGCAAGCTATGCCAGCGATGAAATTGAGGAGGTAATATTTCAAAAAATTTCATTGCGCAAATCGGTTTGCAAACAGCTAGTTCTTCTAGCAAAGAGGTTGCTGTTTTCAGTTGGTTCGTTTCAGTATGAAATCAATCTGAAAAGCAAAATTTCCAAAAAAAACGGACAGGCACTGTCTAGCCTTGAAAATGAATTGACTTGATCTTGTCTAAGGAATTGGAAAATTATTTCCATCACAAAATTAATTCTAGAGTTCCTCTCAAAATTAATTCTAGAATATTCCACATACAAAAATTTGAAAATTGGAGAACAGTCTTGGCCTTATCTTAAACGTTGAGCCTAAAGGATTTTTAAACGAGGCATTCGACAACAGTTTAAACATTGCGTTCAGTTAAACATTGCGTCCATGGCGCATCCCGACTTTCATTTCCAAGTTTTTCTAAGCAGCCTTTTAAAGCTAAGAAAATTGCAATATTTCGAGTTATTTCGTGGACCAAATCAGTTCACGAAAAGTTTTGAGGTTTTCTAAGCAAGCTTTCAAAGCTATGAAAATTTTTCAAGTTAATTCATAGACTGAATCGCTTCGCGAAAAATTGAAATTTTTCTAAGCAAGGTTTTAAAGCTAAGAAACTTTGAAAAATTTCAAGTTACTTCATAGATCAAATCGGTTCACTAAATGTTAAAGTTTTTGTAGGTAAGCTGTTGAAGCTAAAAAAAATCTAAAATATCTCAAAATATTTCCCAGACCGAATTGTTCTGCAAAAGGGTTAACTTCTTCTAAACAAGCAATTAAAGCTCTGAAATTTCTGAACTATTCAAGTTATTTCAAAGGCAAATCGGTTTGCGAAAAGTTTGCTGAAAAAGGTTTGCGAAAAGTTCTGCTTTGAGCAACACGGTCTATGAAATAGCTCGATATATTTCGAGGTTTTTCTGAGCACGCTATTCATGTGATGGATTTTGAAATATGTCAAGTTGTTTTAGAGAAACATGACTGGCGAGAAGTTTCAAAATTTTTAAGCTAGCTATTGAGGCAATGAAACTTTGAATTATCTTAAGTTTACACAGAGCAAATCAACTGCTGAAAAAATTATATTTTTTGAGCAAGCTAGGCCAGCGATGAAACTTAGCGCATTCCGCATTGAAACATGGCGCATTCCGACTTTCATTTCCGAGTTTTTCCAAGTAGCCTTTTAAAGCCTAAGAAACTTGAAATATTTCAAGTTATTTCGTGGACCAAATCATTTCACGAAAAATTTTCAGGTTTTCTAACCAAGCTTTCAAAGCTATGGAATTTTTTCAAGTTAATTCATAGACTGAATCGCTTAGCGAAAAATTGAAATTTTTCTAAGCAAGGTTTTAAAGCTAAGAAACTTTGAAATATTTCAAGTTATTTCATTGTTCAAAACGGTTCACAAAAAATTTTAAGGTTTTCTAACCAAGAAAATCAAGCTCTGAAAATTTGAAACTTTCAAGTTACTTCATAGATTAAATCGGTTCGCTAAAGATTAAAGTTTTTGTAAGTAAGCTGTTTAAGCTAGAAAACTGAAATATCTCAAAATATTTCCCAGACCGAATTGTTCTGCAAAAGGGTTAAGTTCTTCTAAGCAAGCAATTAAAGCTCTGAAACTTCTGAAATATTTCAAGTTATTTCAAAGGCAAATTGGTTTGCGGAAAAATTGCAGAAAAAGGTTTGCGAAAAGTTCTGCTTTAATAGACACAGTCTATGAAATAGCTTGAAATATTTCGAGGTTTTTCTGAGCACGCTATTCATGTGATGGAATTTTGAAATGGGTAAAGCTGTTTTATAGAGAAACTTGACTGGCGAGAAGTTTCAATATTTATAAGCCAGCTATTGAGGCAATTTAACTTTGAATTATCTTAAGTTTTCACAGAGCAAATCAATTGCTGAAAAATTTATATTTTTCTGAGCAAGCTATGCCAGCGACGAAACTCAGGAGGGAATATTTCAAAACATTTCATTGCGGAAATCGGTTTGCAAACAGCTAGTTTTTCTAGTAAAGAGGTCACTATTTTTAGTTAGTTTGTTTCAGTATGAAATCAATCTGAAAAGGCAAAATTTCCTTAAAAAATGGACAGGCACTGTCTAGCCTTGACAATGAATTGACTTGATCTTGTCTAAAGAATTGGGTTCCTTTCAAAATAATTCTAGAATATTCCAGACTTAGAAAATTTGAAATTTCGAGATCATTCTTGGCCTTCTCTTAACCGTTACGCATACAGAAATTTTTCAAACGTTGCATTCGACAAATCTTAAGCATTGCGTTCAGTTAAACATTGCGTCTATAGCGCATTCCGACTTTCATTTATTATATAAGATAACACTTCTTTACATGCTTTTTCTGTACTTAAAGTGACTGTGGTTTTACCTGTTTGGTTGACTTCAATTTTGGTTCCATTAGTAATGGCATCGATCAATCGCAGAAGATTTGCTTCGAAATCTGCAACAAACACAAACTGAGCCGAATTTCTGTAAGTTCAATTGGATCTAGTTTCCTCAGAAAATTACCGTGGAGGCCTGGGTTCTGTTCTCTAGGCCTGATGTTGATTATTCTGATAGGTCGAGATGAAAGCAAGGATTGTATGATTCTCTGTCTGAAATAGTTAGCTCCCTCAAACTCCAACACGTGAGACACCGGAGCTTGTTTCAATTTCAAAAAAGGCATATCAATTCTAAAACTAGACCTGAATTCATGTAGATATTAGGAGAAATTTTTCTCCTAGAAGATAAAGTAAGAGCAATTTAAGCGAATAAATACAATAAATGTAGTCACGAAAAATCTGATAAACAAACATTTGAACAGAAAAAAAAAACAGTCAAATGAGTCGATATTTGTCACATTTTGTTGTTCAAGAAAATTTTTCTGTTTTTCTGCTCTTGGACCCATTCCGCTCTTAGACAATTCTGCTTATTGCTCCGCCTCCCCAACAGACAGTTGGAAAAGAGTCATGAACGCAAGGAAACAGAAAATAAATACTTCAAATTTCGAATTCTAAAGTTAAAAACTATGGTCTTAAAGCTCTTCGAATTTCTAGAACTATTTATGATTAATTTTTTTTTCGATTAAGTCAGCCCAATTTAAGAAAACTGGATCAATAGGTGAATTAAATTCCGCTTTCAAAATTAGAAGTCGATCACGTTTTTCGTAAACTCTACCTTTTTGCTGTTCGATAGTTTAGTTTGCCTGCCTTTTAACAAAAGAAATGAGCTGAACTTAAAAAGAAATCAAATGACAACGCTAAGATTTCAAACGGAGCGTGAACAAATTTTAACTTTTTCCTGAAAAAAAAACAAAAAAAAATCACCAAGACCTATATAAGAGTATTCACTACGTTCATGACTCTCAAAAACGTGCCCAATTTAATTTTGCCAACCATCGAGAAAAAATGCAGATCGAGCATTTTACAATCTCGCCAAGCCAATAACAATTTCCCAATGGAAAGATGACTCATTTAGATGCAAAACAACCTGTTTATATTGAAAACTCAAATTTCAAATGGTATCAGCAAATTTTGAGAATAAATCTCGTAATTTATTTTCAGTTTCAATTTTCAGTCTTTTGACATCATATGCGAGATCATCATCTTCTTGTTCATCATCTTCAATACACTCAAAATTATGCACTAAAACATTTTCACTTTTCTCAGTTTCAGATCTTTCCAAACCAATGGCTGTGAAATTTCTCACTGACAACACAGTAAATTGGTTTAAATCAGTCATCGTTCTTGAAAACTGAGGTAACTTTTCACGATGATATGAAAATTTTTCACAAATGTTGAGCAAAGAAACCTTTAAGTTGGTGACAGCGCTTTCAAAATTCAATGTTCGTATGCATTGCAAATTTTTGACAAGCCATACTTTGACAGTCTTGTCTGTACTGGCAGAGAATAGAACGGCACTGTCAACTGATATCTGCAGACATGTCAATTCTGAATGATGGCCGGTCATTTTCTGATTGATTTCGTTGGTTAACATGTTTACTTGCTTGTACGTGTCTTTGGGTTTCAATGTGATAGACAATATAGACCCGTCTAGGTGACCGACAAAAATAGATTCCAAGGTGCTGTTCGTTAATATACAGGTAGGCGTCGATTCCAGAACGAATGTGGACAAGATCTGCCCGAAGTTACCTTCCCAAACTTTGACCGTTTTGTCCATAGAGCATGAGAAGATCCAGTTTTTTGCCAAGTCTATACTGGAGCAGGTGAGTCCACTGATTGGCATTGTATGCCCCGACAGGGTGAAGAGGGCATCACTGTCGCCTGAACAACATAAATGATCGTAAAATGAACTTCAAAATAATGTCAGGGCAACTAGTCAAGCAACGAGCGCGCATTCTGGACTATCCGTGAACACTTTTTATCTAAGTAGGCTCACACTTTTCATCTTAAATAGTTTAAGATTATTTAAACTTTTAAACATGAATCGGATTTGTTAACTGCTATTGAATGATCAGATTACTTTGAATTCTGGAACTAGCTTGATAACAAGAGAAATGCAGACCTGTGATTCCTTGCTCATTTATGAGCTGGAATATGGAGAATATTTTGATCCGAGAGTCTTGAGAGGCTGTTACGACTCGTTCGTTGTCTGATAGAAAAAGAATATTCGTGATTCGCTGGAAGTGTACATTCGACCGCAGTGCAACCAAGTCTCCGCTCGAAATGAGCCACAAGTAGAGGGCTGTCTGAAACCTTCAATAGTTTTAATCATTATCTCAAATAGAAGTCTTACTAAAGGATCGCACAGGCAAAGATAAAAAATTGTTCCTAAAATTCAATAGATGATTTGAAGAATCTGAATGAAATCATGTCAAAAAATGGCACAAAATGAATAAAAAACAAAGCCTTTTGATCGATATATAATCGTTGGCGATCAAAGATTTTGCTAGTTCCTCTCTACTATGAGAGAACTGTTTGAATTAAACAAAAATGTATTTGCTGCGCTCACTTTAACAGATCCGGCGCAATAGTTCTCATCGGGGCTCACGGCCAAACAAGTCAGAGTTCCGGGTATCATAGTTCTGCTTTCTGGTTGCTTTGTGCCATGTGTTTCAGAGCTCCAGACATGCAGGATTGGCTTAGTCTCATTGGCGCCCAATAATGAGCGCCATTTGGGAAGGTAGACCATAGTGTCACGAGCCAACATGGACCCTTTCCATTGGTTGATCAGAGACCAGGTTGAAGTATCGTAGGATAATATTGAAACATCATTGGCTAAGCCAGCAGACACTATCAAATGTTGCTTAACCAAATCCATCAGTCTCTTAAAAAATACAGTCTCTTAAATTGTACTTTTTAGATATTCACAATGAATTGGTCACGGCCTCTGCATTCCGGTATGCTTTGATGCACGCAGAACCGAGTAGTACAAAAACAACTGATATAGGTCATAGTGTGCAAGTTGCACAGAATGTTCCGACCACATTCCAAAAAAAACTTTAGTTTTCACACTAGTGTCGTTTTTTTTTGTGCGTGGTGTGATGATAGAACTATACAAAACGCGTAGAACGTTAGTGATTAAGAAATAATCGACAAAAATTGCGTTCTAAAAATGAGTAATAAACAAACGCAAAACAATCTGAAAATAAAATCGAACCAACTCTATAGTTCGTCTCAAGCGAGTTTATCACGTCTACTCGCTCGCTTTACTCGTTTAAAGTTGGACTAAAACTATTATTTCAAATTAGTTTTTCACAAGACTGGGACAATGCTTTGAAATTTTTCAAAGGTTCGAATCTTGACTGAAAGGGCTTTTACACGATATCAACCCATTCAATTAGTTGGATGTACTACAAAAATCCGATCTCAAACACGTTTACACTTCGGAGTCTTGTAGATCCATTTCAAGCAAAATAGCCGGTTGCTGTGCAAGTAGCACAGAATGCTCCGACCGCGTTCTTTAAAAAGTTTTATTTTTTCTTCATATTAGTGTCATTTCTTTATTATGTGAATGGTGTGTTGAGAGAACTAATCACAAGTTGGAGAAATATACCACGTAGAATTTAGTCAATTAGGCATAGTCGACAAAATTGTCTTCAAAAACGAACAATAAACAAAAAATGAGAAAAAAATTCTCAAGAAAGTTCTATATGAAGTTCTTAAAACTAGTTTTCTTTAGTAAAAGCAAGTTTTCTGATGACCAATTTTGATATAAAAAACTTTCCTTGATCGAAAAAAGACAAAAAATTCTCGACACTGGAAAACCTTTATGAACAATTTTTAATGTCGTTGGAATCACAATTGAGAAGGATAATATATGATACACCACTCGACCCATTCAGATGATTATTTGGTGTATGGTACCGGCTGTTGCATAGAAAACAAAATATGAGAACTGAAACACGACCGAAAATGAACACAACCGAAAACGAAGTTGCTCTCAATTTCTAATGGTCGGAACAACAATCTTTAAAGGCTTCAAACAACATGAATCTATAATTATAGATCTACTTTTTTCTGAAATTTTTTGAAAAGTAACAAAAAAACGTCACATCTCGGAAACTCCAACAAATTGTGCAATTTTTTTGAAAGCCAGATCAACAATTTTTGCAAAACCGAGGGAACACTAGGAGAAACTGAAACTAGGAGAAACTCTAGTTAGGATAAACTGAAACTTTGAGAAGTACTCTTTTCAACATAAGTTTGTTGATTTTTTTGTAAATCATAAAAAACGTCATATCATGAAAACGAGTTGAGCCGTCATATTTGAAAGCCAGATCTGCAACCTTTGAGAGTAACCTGCCAGTATTCTATCTCCAGGTTTGACAATTTCAATATTTGTGAAGTTTTTCAAAATTGAGTTTTTTCAAAAAAATCACACGAAACTTCGTATCCGAAAAAAATTGAGCAGCCAAATTTGGAAACCAGATTTTCAGCCCTTAGGAGCACCCTTCCATTTGATTAACTACCTCCAGATTTTTGAAATCTAAATTTCAAATTTTTTTATTCTAAAAAATATCTATTAATATCTAAAAAAAACATATCTCGGAAACTCAATGAATTTGGGCATTCATAATTACAGGGAAAACGTACAACTCCTGGGAGTATGTCCGGGTACTACCAGGAGTTGCAAGTTTTCCATGTAATTATGACTGCCCAAATTCATTGAGTTTCCGAGATATGATAATTTTATTTAAATATTAATAGATATTTTTTAGATTAAAAAAATTTGAAATTTAGATTTCAAAAATACTCCTTTGGGTTGGGAATTTCAAATTTTGTTTATTAAACAAAGTGACGAAAATCATAGAATTTGAGTTGCTAATCAAGAGAAAACTAATTTAAGCTTTCACGCTCCAACATATGTATGTGAAAATGTATGCTGACCTTAGAATTTTGCAATCAGAAATTTGCATGGATAAAAAACCTCCTTGAACACTCGTGTATTATTCTTTAAACCGTCGACTTTAGTAAACAATTTAAACGTTGCAATATAATAGCATTTTAACATGTCAACATAGGGATTTTTTAACATGTGCCATGTTAGGATCCCGTAAAATAATGTATAGATAGTCTTAAAAAGTCTAAAATTGCTTTTTCCCCAAAAACATTTTAAAATACGGAAAAAAGGGTTAAACTTAAAGCGCCTTTATCTGAACATCTGAATTCAGACAAAAAGTGAGGAAAACCTTTTTTTTCACATTTTGCCTGAGGACAACCCCAATTTGAGAAAAGTTATTTTAGGTTTAGATTTCATTGGATTGAGGTTTGAATTTCCTTACTTTTGTCCGGTTAGTTACACTCAGCACTTCATCTGATGAATGATCAAAACAATTTATGCCAAACAGTTGAAGTAATGAAAATTTATAAAATACATAAATTTACTTAACATGGACAAACAGTCGCTAAGAATCACAAAACGCAAAGCTGAAAAAATTCATTTTAAAATATCTCGGACAAATTCGATAAGCATCAGGGACGCTTTTAAGAGAGGAAATAAATAATTTGCAACTTCTACTTAGTTTTTTAAAACAAAATTCACTTCGACTTTGAAGGAGGTCCTGTCCAGTAAAGACAATTCGAATCAACAACTTTTAAGGTAGCCGCTTTTTTCGTCTGTTTCACAATGAAACTGTCAATTATATCCTGTTTCTTCACAATCACGTGATTTCCTCTCCAGAATTTGACCAGCTTCAGAAACTGCAGAGTGCTCACTAGATCATTAATATGAACATGAGTCTCTTGGCTCAAGGCTTTCAACGAGCAATTGGAACCTTCGTCTAGACTCATTATCCACTTCATTATAACTTCTGTCCAGAAACTTCGGTAGCTTGCCAACCCCAGGTCACTCAGCGGCTTCTCCGGCGATCCAGGGTTTCTTCCCTCGATCTTGGACAGCAAGTAGCTGAATTCGATCATGAATCGACCGTAGCCTTGTTTTGCAAACGGAGGAAATGTGAGAATGCAACTCAGATTGTAGTTGTAAAAAGAGTCTTTTTCTTTCGAAAAATAACCGACGATGTGACATCCTTCGTTGTCAGCCAAGGTCAGCACGTAAAACAGAAACGGCTCGACGTCATAGTAAAGAGTTTTGTGGTCGAGAAAGAGCTTCGCAAACAAGCATACGTTCTGGCAATACGCTTTGCATTGTTTACCGTCGACTTCAAAAACAGACAGATTGTTCTTTCTGTAGATTTCGTTACCGGGAGGATGTCGCCAGGAACACTTGGCCATATGCCTCCTTAGAAGCAAATCTGAATTCATGTAGCTCATACAGTATTCACAGAGGTAGATTTTCAAGTGTTGCTGATACATTTCGGGGTAAGGACTGTTATACCAGGTTTTGATCTGACATTTTCCGATTATGACGTACTGAATTTTGAACTCGTCGAATTTCTCTGACTCGAACTGTTTTTGTTGTTCGTAGGCCACTGCCATCTGAGCTTGTCTGAATCTTAAAAGATCCCATTCTGAAGTTATTCCCTGGGATTCGATCAGAGCTTCTCTGTTGCTTCCATACTGCTGATTATGACTCATCCACTTCTTAACTAGCTCGTCTATATTTTCCGGATGCTCATACTTTCGATCTTCTTTCAATTTTCCCGCATACCTTCCTGTAAACTTCATTAACTCTTCATTCGACATGTCCCCTTGTGCGATGTTAACTAGCAATTTGTCTCTCTCAGAGGTTAGCTGATCCAGTTTGATTGACAGTTCTTTCGCTTCTTCTTTTGTCATGTTGTGATACACTGGACAGCCACTGATTGTATAATGGTTATCAAATTTCCCACTGAAATGACCCTTTGAGTCACACCCAGCAACTGGACATTTCAGTTCGCTCTCCTTCTTGCCCAGCTTCTTCATAGACGCCGCTCCACTTTTTTGGCATTGCGAACAAGACCACAGCTTCGGATCTATGTCTGATGGCACGTCCACGCAACCTACATGTCGCTTACGATCACACAAGCTGCAGATGATTGATTTCTCAATCTTTTCGATTTTCTTTCTACATGAACATTTTTTGCACGAGTTGCACTCCCATCGGTAACTTTTACACTGCTTGAACTTAAACGTGTCAAAATTTAAACACTTGCCATGGAATGGCGTGGAGCAAGTTGAACATGCTAGTATCATATTGTCTGAATTTTTTACACATGATTCGTTGCAAATGAAGCATTTTCGATCTAACTCAGGGTCTACGAGGATCTCTTTCGAGATATATGATTTGCGTCGTGTGATTCTGGCCCCGACGTCTGACTCACAAGGCGGCGTCACTTTGCCCGGAGGTGTCGCTTCGAACTTCTTGCCGACGTCGCATTCAGACTCAGTACTTCCGGTGGTAGAACTTGCAGACGAAGCTGCGGCACGTCTTGTTCTTTTTCTTCTGCTTTTATCTTCACTATCAGAATCAGAGGCCAATATTTTGATCCGAGGCATGTTTCTGAAAGTATATCAAATATCATTTCAATTCAATCTAGTCAAAAACGGCCCAAAAATTCATTTGAACTATTTTAGCCTAGAGAACGCGATGAACTTAAACAGATCGCATTTCATTGAGATTTTGCAAAATTTAGGCGAAACGGAGCATCGCACCACTAATGATAACAAGCTAATAGACAATATGAAATGAAAGCCTCTAAAAAATCAAAAAATGTATAAAAAAAAAACAGTTTCAAAATTTTCGTCTCAAAGGATGTTCAGTTTGAACAAAACAATTCCTGCAATAGAGTCGACTGCGTAAAATAAGTACTTGGAAACACTTGTCAAGCGGCAGCTAAGCCGAAAAAACTTCGGTAAGCTTCTGTTGAGCCGAAAACAAAATTGTTGTCATGAAAAGCTTCGAGCTATTAAGTTCTGAATTTTTTTTTATCATTGTGTTTCCAAAGGGGCGTTTAAAATCTGCTTATCTTCCAGCAGCGCAAAATTACATCATCAAGTCACTAAAACATAATCTGAAATCATTTAGGCTGAATGAATCTTTTAAGCCAAAAAAAAACAGGAAAATATGAGTCAAATGCGAGCGAACTGCCTACAGCACAAGACAATTCCATGATGCGCTTTTTTTAGACGGAACATTTCTCGTTTGAAAAATAAAAAGTCCTGGCCAGATTCGAACTTAGAACCTTAGCCATCTCAGGCGTAGTCGCTACCTCTAGAGCAGATGTAACGGAGACGCTAAGAAAAATGAATTAATTTATTATAAGCCAAGCTATCAAATTATTCAACTGATTGAGCTGCATAAGTTTACTCGCAAAGAGCTCTAGACTCCGATTTGATAAAGCTTGATAATTGCTGACTAAATGACTTAACGAGAAAATTAATAACTAGCAAATGTTTTATAGATGCTGCATCTACTCCGTTATAAATGCATAAATAATATTGCATTCGGCAGCTTTTTTCGTTTCCTTAGTGACTGCGCACAAATAATTCATTATTGCAGCAGGTGATTTTACTGAAAAGCAGATTAAGGAGTGGTGGGGCGGACGCTATCTCGCAATTCCGCAGAAACTCCATGTTTCTCAAAAAAAAAAACCTCAACTAATTCATTTTTTGCAGAAGCGACTCAAAAAGTTGATTTATGCATTTGCGTTTAGGCTATCATAAACTGATTGCCAAAACTTGATATTTCAGATAAACAAGAGCCTGCTTTTACGAATTGCTTTTTACGTTTCAAATTTATTTATTTTCTTACGTTTCAAAATGAAACCGACTACAAAAAATTTCGAGAACAATTGAGATTCTACACTACTTTAAAATATAGATGCTCTACTCTTCTAAATAGTACAGTCGATGTTATAGTTAGAGTCCAGATAAAAATGCAGTAAAACCCTGTCGAGACTTCTAACTTTTAGCTTAGATCTCGCGAAAAGAGGTAACAGCTGCGTAAGCAACCGCCTGTCGGACAAACACCAGCGGGTTTAGAGGAGGGGGGCGTGGGGATGCTCTCCTCCCCTGAGGGATTCGACATCCAGTCTTGGACCCCCTTGGTAATATTTTGAGATATCTATTTTTGGCTGATTGGCCCTAAAATTTTCCAAAAAGAACCTAAAACGCCAGAAAATTTGAAAAAATGGGCTCTTTAAAGTGATTTGGGAGAGCTCAGAAAATCATTATGGTCGACCTAAAAAAGAAGGTCGAAAAAAAACGATTTTTTTTTAAAATCCGCCCCCCCCCCCGAGAAAATCCTAGGCCCGCCTCTGCAAACAAATACTGAAGTTTGCAACTGTCTCGGGAATTTCCTTAATCGCTTATCAAAACATAGAATTTTTTTTTCAATTTTTCGGCGTAATTGTTTCGAAACTAAAGCGAAGAAAATTATCGTCAAATTGCACAAATTCGCAGTTATTTAAGCGCATTTTGCAAATATTGGTCAAAAACTACAATCAAGCTAATGAATAGAATATGGACCACACCAAAATGTGTAATTGCAGAGGCGGATATATGATTTTGTCGGAAATAATTTTCCGAGCTCTCAAAATACTAAAAAAATCCATTTAGCCGAAGTTTTGGCAACGGAGTTATTTTTTTTGAAACGGGCCAAAAATCATATCATTTTTACAGCGCGCGCTCCCCTCAATTCAATCTTACACTGAAGAAAAGGCAACAGCATGTAGCGCTAAATTTTAGGGCTACCTAAAATGGATGTAAAATTATCCAAGGGGGCTCTTTGGACGGCCAGGGGGTCGTATCCCAGAAAGAGCGGGCACTGGTGGGAAAAGTTATGGGTATTTGCTCTCTTCCTAAAGCCAGGTGTATAATCTTAGCAGATGCTCTTTATAATGGCCTTTGTTCATCCCCAAATTCGACAACTATGTTAAAACAAATTTGTCGTAAAGCAAAAATTGCAGATTTTGCGACACGCTACCAAATTTCAACGCAATTCATCACGTAAACTGTGTCAGAGGAGGCCTGCTAGCTAGCCTTAAAGAACTATTTTCTAATCAATTAGAGAATTCAACTATGATATTGACAACATACATATCTTCTAAAAATCTTTTAAAGACTACAGAATATTCTAAAATATTTTTCATTCTACACTTGAAACTCAAGATAATCGATATGGCGTCAAAAATTTATCTCAAGTTTTAACGAACCTTGACTATTCCCCCTATTGTACCTAGTATAGAATAACCATCCCTGTTAAGATCAAATTTGAAAAAAAAATGATTACGCTGATACAAGGAACTTCAAATTTTTACATAAATTCTAAGCAACATTTTCAAAGCAAGTTTTGTTCTCCGCTTAATGAGACACCTGAAAACTACTGGCTTAATGGTGTGCTCCCATACGATTCAGATGTTCTTTAAAAAAACTTATATAGATAACTTTAACTAGATATCGTTTGGAAACAAGATATTATTATAATTTTCATAATTTTCTTTTGTGAAAAACATGTCGAAAAGGACAATTGAAAAATAAATAAGCATCCCATAAATGATTTACTTAGCGGTCATTGAGCCGACAATACTAGAGCCGGAACAAAATGTTAAGCAAACACAAAAACGAAGCTACGCTTCGCAAACACTAGACAGAGCACGACAAAAAAGCAGCTTTAAACAGTGAAATAAAAAAATAGAAAAAACCTCAAATTGGTAAATTTCGAGACTGCGAACTCGAGATTTGGAATCTCACGCGATTCCCTCTCGACCACGAACGCTTATCAATCGGAAAATAGTCAGAAATCGCATTTCGGATGCGATGCAGCAAAAAATGCATGTCATAAATTGGAAAACAAAGTCATATTATATATAAAATCTGCATTTTAAAAAAATGCGAGATATATTGAGATAAAAAAATTCCGAAATCAAAATTTTATCATTATGTTGTTTGATTTTGTAAAAAAGAATCACTTTTTTCGATTGATGATTTAAAATACATGAACTGTGTTGAGTTATTACGAGCCCAATGTCACAGCACATGATATCAAAAGCCGTTAAGGTGCCACCAAAAGTGCCAACAATATTTCCAACTTAAGTGAGAAAAAAATAATAGCCGAACTAAAGTCTCTAAGGTAGCTTAAGTAGGTAACTAAAATTCGCAGTGTAACTAACTCAAAGAATTGTCCCTCCTACAAAACACAAACTCTTTTACGATAATTATTCGCTCATACGACGCAATACGAAGACACAAAACCAATCTCATATAAGACGAAACGTATTAAGCAAAAAAAAAAAACTTTAAAAACACGGAATTTAAACAAAACCGAGTTGGTAAATCATAACCAAAAGGAAAGAGTTCGAATAGAACAGGCATGTAAGTTGTAGATCTGCTCAAATATTGTCTGCTAGTTGACAAAAATACAGATTCGGAGATGACTACCAATTTGAGTCAACCCCTGCGTCAGCCCCCACAACAGAAAATTAATGGAAAGAAGTCTATAACCCGATTGCAATAGCCTTGCTTATCGCAAGAGTTAAGATGTGATATAAATAAATAATAAACTTCGTCAACTTTAGCCAAAATATATTATACTTAATAACAGACACTGAAATTATTAAAACCCAGATGCGAAGCTGAGCTTGATTAATTGAATTTGAATTATAGTTACCAAGCCAAAAAATTATAACTAATGAAAAAAGTTTAACTCCTTTCCCCTCAGAACGCAAAAAAAATTCTTCCTCAAACGACGCAAAAAGAGACCACTAAGCCAATATAAAATAATCCAAAACTTATTGGGTCGGGAAAACAACCAAAAAACTGAACTTTCAACAAATCGTTATCCTTACAACGTCGAAACTTTCTACACTTCTACCCTCTTTGAAATGCAAGTTACCGAAAATGTGACGCAGCAACGTAGTCTACAATATCACCTGTCCTGCGTGTAACGCAGGCTACGTCGGTCGAACGACTATAGGTGCACGCCACTGAGAAAATAAAAATATGAGCCGAAACCATTTGGCCAGAATATAGTTTTTAAGCAGAGAAAAAACAAAAAAAAATTATTAAAAGTCGAGAAATTACAAACAATAGAAATAAATCAAAACTCTCAAAGCAACTAACGATGAAAAATTGCGTTAAGTAAAAAACAATTATACGATGAGGCAACTAAGCCGAAAAATCATAAGCAGATAAATAACAAGCCGAAAATTTTTTAAGCGGAATATTTTGTTTGAAAAACAAAAACAGGTCCTGTATGAATCTAACGTAGGACCTATGCCGTCCCAAGACGCAAAGAAATTTGAATGAATTATGAACTGAACCTAAATTTATCAATTCGCATTTTGACCACGCTGTGAACAAAAAAAAATACTGGAAAAAATGTCTAGTACCCGATTGCAGTACCCTTGCTTATTACAGGTGTAATAATATCTTGAAGTTTAGAAACAATTTAAATCTGAAATTGATAATAATTCAAACTTTCTCAATTGTCCTTTGCTCGCGTTTTTTTCTTGCTCTGAAAAGCTTCACTTAAGGTTTTCTCAAGTTATGCCCTTGAA